TTTCTAGGAAGGGTCAAAAACTGTCCCTGAACTATACGAAGTGGGATAGTTATACCCCTCCCCGGCCCCTTATTTTAGTTTTATATTTTTAATTTTTTTTTCTCCCCTTCATTTTCTTTTCTCTTCCTCTCCTTTCAACCTCCATTGAAGAACCTCTCCCAAACCTCCCAAAGAATTCCAAGCCAACAAAAATTGCATTTATCTCCTCTCTTTCATTTTCTTTCTCCTTCTTCTTCCTCTCTTTTCAACCTCTACTGTGAGTGAGGGTATGTGTATTTTTATTTGTATGTATTACAGTTAAAATAGAATGGTTCTCTCTTAAACTTTGATTGGTTCTTTTCGATAAGTTACTCCCTAATGAATTTAAGCTATGTGCATCATCATCTATTAATAGCATAGAACCATTGGTGGTAGGGTAGTGAGGTTCAAGGCAAGGTAGACGCCAAGAAAGCGGTATATCTGAAGCTTCTGGAGAGCACGGACGAGGAGGTGAAGAGGAGGAATAGGGAGCGGTATAGATGGCTACAATGCTCCTGTCCCCCTCCTCGTTCAAGAGACTATGGAAGTAGGTCTTCCATCTCCGACGGATAAGCCCCTCATCCAACAAAACTCTACTTTTTTCGTCCTTGATGCACTTCACTTGGTCCAAGTCCCGCGCCTTCCTTTCTCGCGCCTTGACTAACCTGAACAACCTCTTATCCTCAGCTCGGCCCTCGAGTTCCTCATGCAAACGACTAAAAGCTGCAGTCTTGTTCAGGAAGAACCAAATCATCTTTTATTGGATGCTCTTATTCGTTTCCGACATGAATCAAGAAGACACTAACTACTGGATCTGTTCTTACTTTATATTTCTTGTTAGTTGAATCTTTTTCATTTGATGCCAGAAGTATAACTTTGGCAAACTAGCTTTTACAGTCTCTGCTTTTATTGATTTTGGAACTACGTAGTACTTGACATAAATTACCTCCAAAACCATTAAGTTTTCACCAAACGGTTCATTAATTCCAATATATCTCTAGAACTTCGTTTGACACTTAGCTATAAGTGCTTCATCCCATATTATCAATTTTGCTTTCCTCATAAATTTAGCACCATTGCTCTGCTTTGATATATTTGTGAAGGTTATTTAAGTTGTTCGAAGAGGAATATCAAATCTAAAGTGGGTGGCCTTACCTCTTTTATAAAATTTGTTACCATTATCAACAAAAAAAAAGTGGGTGGCCTCACAATAAAATCGTTGTTGGTACACCACTTGCTATTATTGCTAACAGTGTCATGCCTTTTGATATGATATTTGCAAATAATGCGTGACATAGAAATATTATTTCGATTCCGCCAAAGGCATCTACAAAGAATAATCTTGTTATAGCAGAGTCCACTCTTTATAATATAGTTTTGAAAGCTTGTTCTTGTTTAGGATTTAGCTTTGATTGTGCTTCCTCAGACACTTGTATAGCATTTTGATTCTTAATAATATATTAACCTTTTTACTTTGTGTTCTAACGTTTTTTTTATGGAATAATTATTTGATTTTAACATAAAAAATAATTTATTCTATGTTGATTCAGATCTTAATATTAGTTCATCTCTTGTTTTGAATATTTAATCTTAATTATAATTTTATCCATCATAAATTTTATTTTCAAAGAGTAAAAGAATGATATGACATTCCACTTTTAAATCTTTATGTTTATAGAATCATTAGTGGTATTGACTCTTATTTACCATTTTTTTCTCTTTATCACACATTTATATTCTTAAATATTTTCTTAGTTGTTTAATAATTGAGTATTTTTTAAAATTACACGAAAAATTAATAAAATAATATTATTTGAGTAGGAATAATATTGGGTAGTATTCCTACTGGTATGTTGTTGTTGTTGTATTTGAGTAGGAAAATAATTCAAATATAATATAAAAATATATTATCGTGGGGGTATTTTTTTCTCAATTTCAACTCTCTATGCAGTCCCGGTATTAGACATTATGGAGTGGTAATGTATTGCCAATACGGAGGATTCTGAAATGATTTTATTAAACATTTCTACATATTTTTAATAAGAATTTAATAGACAAATTTTATTAATTTTAAAATCTTAAATATTAAAAATTAGCACACAAGGTATTGTAGTCCAAAAAATAAGTTATTGCAGTTATGCCCTTTCCCTATTAGTTCTTCCATTTAATATTTTATGGCTATTTTGGTATATTAATATTGTATTTATGCTTTTATAATAATATAGGCTCTCTTTTTTTCTAAATAGATTTGGACAATATAATACATTCTCAAATTAAATTAGTAATAGGACATTATAATACGTTATCAAATTAAATTAGTAATAGGAATTTTTAAGAAGTATATCCTAAAAGTAATAGGATTACATGACTAAAGATATTTACTTGTTCAATTTTATATGAATTAGACAGCCGGAAAGTAATTATACTAATAGGATTCCTAAAGGTAATCATGTAGGATTCCTAACGTGTAGTATTATGTCATAAAACTAATAGGATTATAAGGCTAATATCTAGAATTCCGCTTATGTCCTTTTATTATGCGTTATTATGCTCAATATTATAAGGTTATTTTTGTAAACCAACATTGTATTCATGCTTTTATAATAATATAGATAACAAATACATATTCAAACTTGCTCTAATGAACTCGTGCATTACTTTCCTTCCAAATAATCCACCATAACTTAGGCATATTTTAATGGCTCTATTTTTTTAGATATTTGAATTATTTTTACTCGAATCCCCACCACCCTTATCCGTACCTGAATCTATACCCCCAAAACTTAAAATTTAGATCAATTTTTGTTATTTCATTTTTGGTGCAAAGAGAGCTAAAGGGAGGATGTACATTCATTACTAGATCTGCTAGAAGAAATGTAATCGAACAGAATAGGCTAGGGGGTCTAAGTTCTTTTGGGTTCTGATTGTGGTTCACACAATCTCTTGTAAATATTTTACTCATTTATAAAATTTGTTACCATTTTCAAAAGAAAAAGAATTATGGTAGGAGCTACAAGCTATAAGAGATTTGGACGTACTTACTTGGGCAATTGGAGGAAACTTCAACATTACAAGATTTAAGGATGAGAGAACCAGCAAGTACAAAAATGCAAGATCAAAGAAAGAATATTCCAGATTCATATATGACCTCTCCTCATTGACCACCCCCTTCATGGTGGTCGATAGACATGGTTTAGAGGCAACAATGAGAGGGTACCCTCTAGAATAAAGAGGTTCTTGGTCTCTACTGAATGGGATGAGTTTTTCTGTTTTTCAAGAATATTAAACAGAGAGTGATGCCGAGGATCATGTCTACTCACTTCCCAAATTTACTTGAATGTAAAGATTGGGGAAAGGGAAGGGATGTAATATACATGGCAGTATAAATCTGGTGCTTGCGAAAAAACTAAAACTGTTGAAGGAAGATAATTAAACCGATGTTTTTGGGAGGCTAGAGGATAAGACAAGCACTGAAATGAGTTGAAGAAATTGATCTCTTGTTGCATCAAAAAGCCAGGAATTCCATCTTAAATGAAGAAAAGTCTACATTGTTAAAAGAGTTGGAGGAGATTGTAAATGATGCGGAGGTGTCTCTGAGACAAAAATTTAAGTGCCTATAGATTAAGCAAGGAGACAGGGATACTAGATTCTCCACATAATGTCCAATTCCCACAAAAGATAGAAATACAGTTATATCGACATGCTAGAAACAAATGGCAGAACTTCAGAAGACCATAATGTTCATTACTACCTTTAGTTTACTTTCTGAGTAGGAGAAGTCGATACCTTTTTGGTGCTGTGAACAGGCTGGCTGCTCGGGATGAGGAAGACAGTGGATTGCAAACACCATTTATGGAAGAAGTCAGTGAAGTCATCCAAATGTTTGATGGTGACAAGGCTCTGGGTCCGGACGATTTTAATACGACCTCTTTTGGGATGTTCATTGTGAAGGAACACTTGAAGACTAGGATTTTCTATGAAGAAGGAACTTTTGGAAAAGCTTTAATGCAACTTTTATAGCCCTTTTTTAATAAGTAAATGTTTATAGCCCTGATTCCCAAAAAGAAAGGAATTGTAAATGTCAAAGACTTCAGGCCTATCAATTTACTGGTAGTGTTAATAAAAGTATTGCCAATATGTTCACTGAATGATTGAAAAGGGTGATGGATAGATTGGTGGCTGATAATCAAACTGCCTTAATCAAAGGAAGACAAATGTTTGATGCAGCTTTAGCAGCAAGTGAATATCTAGATTATTACTTACGAAAGGCAAAGCGGCGATATGTTAATTGGTCTTTCTCATTTACTATACAGAGAAAAGCCGAAGAAGCTAAATTTGTTTGGCCTCAGAAGATGCTTCAGAAAACCAAGGCACCAATTAAAGTTACATGCTTTGAGCGGTTGGCAGCACATGGAGTTTGTCTTGACACTTGATCTACAGAGCAGTGGGTGCAATAGTGGCAATAGATGTTTTCTATGTGAATCTGATGCTGAATCTGTAAGTCATATGTTAATGCATTGTAATTGTTAGGATCGGGAACCCGGGTAGTGCGGAATTTAGCCAAACAACGGTATAATGACAATAACAAAGACAATGGAAGTTGATAACAACGACAATTAAAGTAGATAAAGAAGACACAAATTTAACGTGGTTCGGTCAAAGTGACCTACGTCCACAAGCGGAGAGGAGCAATTTACTATAACAATAAGAGTACAAAAGAGAGTACAAAATTAGAGTAAACACTCTAATTAATCCCAAATACCCTAAGAGAATAACCTCGCAAGATCACTCCAAAGAAAGGGTTCACACAAGTGCTTCCCAACACTAACTCTCATACAAAACACTCTTAATAAAAGAAGAAAGGAAGAAACAAGAATTGAAGACAAGTCTTGTTGGTGTGTCTAAAATGAACTAATGGCCTTCCCTTTTATAGGCAAAAAAGTCTTGACCTCTTAGGTGTAAAAGAAGAGATACAACTTGTGCAAATGATGTCCAACACACAATGCAATATTTTTGGGTCCCAAAGAATATTGCCAACAAAGTCTACACTTTGCAAAGATACTTATGCTTATGTGAGATGGACTCCATTTGACAAAATAATGGCCATATTACAGTTACCTTTTTGGAGGGTCTCTCCCCCTCTTATATATATACACATATATATACTTATATATATTTGAGGTATGCTGGGTTATGCCACAGAACTTCAAATGCTGAATCGGTATCGTTTGTTGATGCATTGTTATCTTTCTTGGAGGGTCTGGTTTTTTCTTAATATTTTTGGGGTATGTTGGTTATATGCCACAGAACTTCAAAGGTCTACTCATCAGATAACAAGTTCAGGGCATGGAAAAGACTGAACTACTGAAGAAGATATGAAAGCTCATTCCTTAGTGCATTATTTGGACAATCTGGCAAGAAAGAAATAAGAGATGTTTTTTAGGGGGAAAAGGTGCAGATTTCAGCAAGTAAAGGTGTTCAAAATTTTATTTTGCTAGCATAAAGTTGATCTTGTAATTAGTATAAATAAGGTCTTGGAATACAGAATAAACAATTCATAAATTGTAAAACATACCTGCAAACACACACATATTCCACAAACAAGATCACGAAGCTTTTCCATAAATATGCACTCCTCATTAATAGCTGATAAAGAATGTTCCAGTGCACTGACATTTGACAAAGAGGCAGATAATTTTTCTTCAATATTGCACAATGGTGCAACAGATTCCTGACAAGAAAGGCAAAAAAGGTAACAGAGTTAATATCTAAATAGACACTATGCTACAATAGTTCAACTTTTTATTATGGCAAACACATATAGGCAGTTTGCTAGTTGAACGGCTGAACTTACACATGTTTATGTGTCTTAACCTATTTTCTCTAACCACTATTTAACCTTCAAAATCAATTAGGGAAAAAAGACAACTATTGCAGCATGAATCAAACACTTCATTATCTGGATTTAAAAAAATTATATCATACAAGCTTAATTTATTCCATTAATGCATAAAAATATCAGCATTTTAGTCCCTGAATTTTTAATTTTTTTTCACAAGTATTTGTGTTCCTAAATTTCTAAAGCAAATTTGTAAAGCACAACAAGTTCCCACTTGTTCTAAGTTAATGCAAACATGATCTGATTAGTAGCATCATATCCATGAACAAAATACATAATCAATGTTTCATCTTGAAAATATCAGACATTGCTTAAACTTATAAATTACAAGAACCTAAGTGAAAAATGTATGACAAAAAGCTAGTGACACAAACCTGATAGTCAAGGCAAAGAGGATGTCTGACATAAGATTCTTGAAGAGCAGACATTGCTTAACCTTATTAATCACGAGAACCTCGGTGAACAAATGCATGACAAAAAGCTAGTGATACAAAAGCTGACTCTAGTTTAGTCAAGGCAAGGGGATGTCAAATGACAGATGATTCACGAAGAGCGTACACAGTTATCTTCACACAATAAAAACTAATATCAATCTATTATTCCTCAATCCCAAGCAAGTTGGCTCAACGAAATGCATGCTAAAATCCGCTTTGATCAGACCATATCTTTCTTAATATGAGGTAATACGTCAATGATCCAGCTAAAATAAGAAATTGAGAAAAGAAGACAAATTCACATTCTTTTAAGGAGCTAAACAAAGAATTACTCCTAAATAACGATCGAACAAGAGATGGAATTATTAGCAGAGAAAAGGAGAGAGAGTTTTAATTTCACCTAAATGGATCGAATGAACAGAAGTACAGAACACTCAACAGAATGAATGAGAACACGTACTTTTAGCCTTTTCATTTTCTCAAGTAGGCTTTTCTTAACAAGCTCAGCCTGCTGCGAAATCGAGATGGCATCCAAATTAGGCAAAGCTGTGTAAGTACCAGTTTGGGGTTCCACATTGGAAGGGACAGATGAAGGTGCAGAGGTAAAACGGATTCCAGGGGAGGGTTTTATGGGGCGCGTAAAAGGCATTGCAGAACCGGAGGAGGGATTAGTGGAGCGCTTAACGGGATACTCGTCTACAAAGCTGAGGAGCCTGGCGGAGGCGGTGTTTGGTCGTTTAGCTGCGGTGTCTTCGCCGCCATCGTTGCCGCGCCCATCGTTGCTGCTGCCGCGGCGGCGGAAATTTCGCGCTTTCATTGGCCAAGCTTATTTTGAGCAAAAGTGGTTTTGAAAAATGTTTGTGTTTGCTTGATTGCTGTAAAAGCACTTTTGAGACATAAATATATTTACTTAACACTTACTATTATAAATAAATAATCTTAAAAATTTATTATTACAGATAATAATTAAATCTTTTTATTTTATTTAAGTAAAATATAAAAATAAAATTTAAAAATACTTAATTCTTTTAATATAAGTTAAATATATTAAAAATCATTCAACAAGTATAAAATCATTCACCCATAAAGTCACTGTATATTAGAAAGTTATCCTAAATATAATAAGAAATATTTATACATTAATATCCTAAATATTAGGTTTAACGGTTATTTTGGTATATATTATATTTTGTTAAGAGTATTTTTGGTAACAAAAAAAGTCAAAACTGCTTCTAATTCTACTTTTGGGAAGATGCTATTTTTTTCCTGCTGCTCAGAAACTGCTTCTGCTTCTTCCCAAAAGCATTTTTTTTCCAAAAAAGCTTGGTCAAACACGTCAAGGTAGGGGAAAAGTGTTTTTGAGGAAAAAAAATATTGTTGGCCTCTTGAGAAGCTTGGCCAAATAGGTTATTAGTCTTTATCAATTCACTTGTAAAATGAATAACTAGTGGATAACTATTTTTATATTTGTAAAGACTTAAATTGGGGATAGTCTAGTTCTTAAGTGATCATATTCAACAAGTCATAAATAATATTATCCGTCGATTAATCTATTTTCGATTCGTATTAAATATGGATCGGATCAAATAATTTATTCATTTTTACTATCATTTTGGACTTGTCTTTGTCTAATCTGACCCACCCATTTACCAAACTAACTACGCCTATTACATATCCTATCATACTATATTATAAATGTGAACACCTTATGTCAAAGTTAATTTACAGATTTACCCATTAAAAGTTGAATAACGGTTTAACCCTTAAATTCAAAAATTATTCCAACAACATTTGTGTACAAAGAGGTAAATATACATTACAATGAAGATAAAAAATTAAATTAGAATGGGACCCATTAAGGTGGTCAGCTTTTAATAAGGCATTTGACTTCTTCGAACTAGTGTATGTAAGCTTAAATATTTTATATATTACTCTACGTTCAAATTTGAATAATGTTATAAATATAATTGTTTATCCGAAAAACGGATAAAGTTGAATTTTATACGTAGTTCTAAGGATATGTGATGTAGCTTAATACAAATTGTAAGGATAAAAGAAAATATCAAATATGGACTGCAAAGGGTGCAAAATAAACAAAGTTATAAAGAAGACGATTTCTAGGACTAAGCAAGATGAATCAGTTTATCAGGCTTAAAAGAGTAACTCTTGAATATAAGAGGATACAGTGCTTGAATTATAACGTGAACTCCAAAAAAAAGGACCCCTTACATAGTCTTGGCTTCTGATGATGATGATGATGATGGTAGTAAGAGCAGGTCCGAGAACGGAGGGGAGCCCGGTGGAGAAGAGACCGCTCCCGGTGATAACCCAAAAGCTTAGCCCTTACTTTCTATGTTGTAATTAATCATGTAAACAATCTTTGTATATATATACAAATATCTTTTTTCTTTTACTGACTTGCTTCCGCTTTCTTGCTTTGTGAAGATTTCATTCATGCCTTGAGAATGTTTTCATAAGGATTTAGGCAATTTCATCGAATTCGGACTTCGTAGCCTTTATGACCGAGTGAGTGTTTGCTCGAACCCGAAATAAAAGTAGCCCGTAGGCGTAGTGGTCGAGTGAATGTTTCAAACTCGAAGTAATGTAGCCCGTAGGTATAGTGGTCGAGTGAATGTTTCGAACTCGAAGTAATGTAGCCCATAGGTGTAGTGGTCGAGTGAGTGCTTGCTCGAACTCGAAATAAAAGTAGCCCGCAAGCTTAATAGTCAAGTGAGTATTTGCTCGAACTCGAAATAAAAGTAGCTCGTAGGCTTAATAGTCGAGTGAATGATTAGAATTCGAAATAATGGCACACAGGCATAATGGTCGAATGAGTGCTTGCTCGAACTCGAAATAAAAGTAGCCCGCAAGCTTAATAGTCAAGTGAGTATTTGCTCGAACTCGAAATAAAAGTAGCTCGTAGGCTTAATAGTCGAGTGAATGATTAGAATTCGAAATAATGGCACACAGGCATAATGGTCGAATGAGTGCTTGCTCGAACTCGAAATAAAAGTAGCCCGTAGGCGTAATGGTCGAGTGAGTGCTTGCTCGAACTCAAAATAAAAGTAGCTCGTGGGTGTAATGGTCGAGTGAGTGCTTGCTCAAACTCAAAATAAAAGTAGCCCGTAGGCGTAATGGTCGAGTGAGTGCTTGCTCGAACTTGAAATAAAAGTAACTTGTAGGCTTAGTAGTCGAGTAAATGATTCGAACTCAAAATAATGTAGCCCGCAGGCATAATGGTCGAGTGAGTGCTTGCTCGAACTCGAAATAAAAGTAGCTCTTAGGCTTAGTAGTCGAGTGAGTGCTTGCTCGAAATCGAAATAGTGTAGCCCGTAGGCGTAATGGTCGAGTGAGTGCTTGCTCGAAATCGAAATAGTGTAGCCCGTAGGCGTAATGGTCGAGTGAGTGCTTACTCAGACTCGGAGATTTATCTTAATTCTGTTTGCGTAATAAATCTCAAAACAGAGGAATTTTTCTTGGATATAAGATATTAGTAAAAAGGAAAACTTTCTTTGCAAGTCATTACACATGCGTTCATATTTTGCGTAAGGGCTCGGGCCAACTACATGAGCATGTTTTGAGTCAGGGCTCAGGCCAACTACATGAGCATGGTTCGTTTTGACCATTTGGCTCTTACAACTTTTCCTATTGTAACCCCATTGTTGCGCAATAACTTTCTTGTATCAAAACTCGATATATTTGAGGGCCTAATGCCCCCCCTCCCCCAGTATTCGAGGTCGATTGCAAAGAGGACTCGGATACTGAAGTATTGTTTCCAAGTAAAACACGATCATTGCTTGCCTCATTAAAAACCTTGCCAAAAAACCCATTTGGGATAAAACCGGTCTAAGGGAAAAAGAGTGCAACGCGCGCTTTCAGACCTGAGGCTTCGTATTGAAGGATCCATCTTAGCTCCTGACCGGACTCCTGCAGGGGTTAGTTTTGAAATGCAAATAAATATGGGAGGGTCGTACCTTAGCAGTAGTATCATTTTAGATGCGACACATTCCAATTGTTTGATAGTTGTTTGCTGTTTATAATGCTGAGCTTGTATGATCCCTTTCCGATGTTTTCGAGAACCTGATATGGTCCTTCCCAGTTCGGTCCCAGTTTTTCTTCGTTTGGATTTAGGGTATTGAGGGTGACTTTCCTTAATACTAAGTCCCCGGACTTAAAATGGCGGAGCTTGGTTCTTTGATCGTAGTATCTTTCAATTCGTTGCTTTTGGGCGGCCAATTGGACGAGAGCAACTTCTCATTTTTCGTCCGATAATTCGAGGCTAGTGTTCATGGCCTCGTTATTTGATTCTTCTATTGTATATCAAAATCTGACACTGGGTTCGCCGACTTCGACTGGTATCAAGGCTTCAGAGCCATATACTAAAGAGAACGAGGTTTCCCCCGTACTAGATTTTGATGTTGTTCGATACGCCCAAAGGACTTTGGGTAGGATTTCTCTCCATTTTCCTTTAGCATCGTTCAACCTCTTCTTTAGGTTTTGAATGATAGTTTTGTTCGTTGATTCAATTTGTCTGTTTACACTAGGGTGATACGGTGTTGATAATATCCTTCTTATTTTGTGGTATTCGAAGAATTTCGTCACTTTGCTGCCGACAAATTGTTTCCCATTGTCACACACTATTTCAGCGGGTATCCCGAATCGACACACGATATGATCCCAGATAAAGTCTATAACCTCTTTCTCTCTTACTTTCTCGAACACCTGTGCTTCAACCCATTTAGAGAAATAATCAGTCATAAATAAAATGAATTTAGCTTTACCTAGGGTCGATGGCAGAGGGCCGACGATATCCATCCCTCATTTCATGAATGGCCATGGGGATATGACTGAGTGAAGTTGCTCTCCGGGTTGATGGATCATCAATGCAAATCTTTGACATTTGTCATATTTTCGAACAAACTCCTTTGCGTCTTTGCCCATATCGATCCAATAATACCCTGCCATGATTATTTTTTGGACTAGTAAATCGGCACCAGAGTGATTCCCACAAGTGCCCTCGTGCACCTCACGTAGGATGTAATTGGTATCTCCTGGACCTAAGCTTACTTCCAACGATCCATCAAATGTCCTTCGGTATAGTGTTTCATCTGAAGCCAACGTGAATCGAGCAGCTTTGGTTCGTAAGGCCCTTGAATCTCTAGGGTCCAATGAGAGCTTTCCGTTCTTTAAGTATTCAATATACTTATTTCTCCAATCCCAGGTTAAGCTCGTAGAATTTATCTCGGCATGACCTTCTTCGATCACGGATCTCGAGAGCTGAATGACAGCCCCCGAGCTCAACTCACCTTTCTCGACTAATGATCCCAAATTTGCAAGTGCATCAACCTCACTGTTTTGTTCTCGTGGAACGTGCAGTAAAGTCCATTGTTTGAAATGGTGCAAAGTGACATGTAGTTTGTCCAAATACCTTTGCATTCTATCTTCTCGAACATCGAAAGTTCCGTTTACTTGATTTACCACCAGCAAAGAGTCACACTTGGCTTCAATGACTTCTGCTCCCAAGCTTTTAGCTAGCTCGAGACCTGCAATCATGGCCTCATACTCGGCCTCGTTGTTAGTCAACCTAGTAGTTTTGATAGATTGCCTAATAATGTTACCCGTGGGTGGCTTTAAAACTATGCCTAGCCCAGACCCCTTCACGTTCGAAGCACCGTCCGTAAAAAGGGTCCATACCCCCGATGACGTACCTGATTTCAACAAGAGTTCTTTTTCGACTTCGGGTATGAGGGTTGGCATGAAATCGTCCACGAAGTCTGCTAAAATTTGAGATTTGATGGCCGTACGGGGTTGATATTCGATATCGTACCTACTGAGTTCGATGGACCATTTGGCCAATCGGCCTGATAGCTTGGGTTT